AGATGTTATGATTATGTTCCTCATGCGTTGATGATGACTATGCTTTGTTAGTTGAGATGAGTCTTGACTCGTGATAAGTAGGGAGTAGACACTCACCTATTTATATCGGTGAGTTACATGTGGTATTTGCACATCATGAGATTTGTATCTTTATCTGTGTGCAATTGAGGGTTTAACTTAATGTTAATTCACGGCACCTATTTTTATTCCTAACACACATGATTATCATCATAACGCATAGATTCCATTATCTTAAATGAACTAAAATATATATGTTTGGAAAGTGTATGTAAACACTCATTATTTTGAATATATTGATCTCCTAATTACTGTAGTGGGCAAGTGATGAAGGAAATTTTAGTGCTTGTAACTGATTTTATGATATGTGGATTTTTGATATATTTGTAAATCTACGTTATGATACGTGCACACAATTTGAATTGGTTAACATGTTAGATTGGTATAGATTACTAGCGCTTGAATCACGAGTATTACATGTTGTATTGCTCGTGTGATTAAACTATTCTATTATGAATATGAAAAAAGTTAAAAAGCAAACGAAATATATATATAGTACACTCGCTAAATAAGTAATTAGTATTTTTTGAATTATGTGATTCCTCGAAATGATATGTGACTCGTTGATTTTTACTATTTTCTTGTTATTGGTTCGAGTGGTGAGTAGATCTCTTATTTTAGACCTAGAGCTTTCATTTACCGAGCTTTGGCTCATCCAAATATTCTTTAAGGACAGGATTAGAGTGCGCAGCAAAAGTAGGGGTTTATATTTTATCCAGGGAGTTTTGATTGTGTATAGGAAAAAAATAGGTATACATCATATGAGGTTTAATTATTTATTTGGGGTTCAATTTGTATGGAAAATTCAAGTCTTGACACTCGCCCCCACCCAATAACTTCGGCTACTAGGTCTCATTAGGCCAGTCGCCCGGCCTTTTGGCCTGAGTGCCCGTTCATCCATCTTCCCACTCCACAGAGGTCGCCTAACTCATCTCGAACCTATCTCAATGTCCATATTTCAATCTTCACTTGAGTCTGTGGCCTAAACTTAAAATGTTCTCAACAATAGCTAATAAGAATAGTCTTATATGATTACTTTCATAACGTGAAGGTAAAAATGAAATGAAATAGCTCATGTTACACTTGTAGTGAAGTAATTTGTGATTAATACTTAAAATTGTGTATGAGATAAATAAGTGAAACAAAAGGCAAAAATAGACAGAGAAACTCTGTATTAACAAAAAGAAAATTTTAAAGTCAGATAACAGTTGATCGTACATAAATTAAGGGTAGATTTGTTGATATTTTTAATGGGAAAAAACAAGTTCATGCATTGCATCGCTCTTAAAGAAAATTAAATATACCATCCTCAACTTTGCTTCTCCAGATTAAATACCTCCTCACATTTCAAAACCTATAATTACCAACCTCATTTTTTGCATTGGATTTCAAATTGCATCTCCCATCCACACATAATTCACCAAGTTACTACTTTCTTTCCCAAATAATCCATTCCTCAAAATTGGATTTAACGTTTTGAGTGTAGATTTTGGGTGTGCATGGGAGCAAATAGGTCTTTTTAGGTTGGGGACACTAAAAATGTAGGTTCTAAATTTGACAAGGGTATTTGATATGTAGATCAAAGTCGATGATGGTTTTTGCGATCATTCCTTTTATTTATGTATTGGCCTATAAATGGTAGCAATTTTAAACCGACCCAAAAGGGTAGCAGATCAAAACTATTAATTTGAATTCGATTGATATTTTTTCCTACTCGCCTTATTTTCAATAAGGGTCTTTCTAAAGAGTGTTACTAGGGCAATTGTTTACCATACTTATATTGTCACCTTAAAATTGCCAAAAAAGTTTACCACCACTTTGGGAAAGACATTGGCTTTGTGATACATTGATCATATTAAGCAAGATATCAACTTTATAGTTATAACATGTTATTAAAATCATGCCTAGTAGGTCACGATTGGGCTAGGGTTTAGCCAATAGGAGGTTTGTCATGAGAGAAATCAGCATTGATCAATTGTATGGGAACTGACCTACCTTGGAACCGATCACCCCTGGATATGTCACTGATGAGAGTGATAGACCTATCACCTTTTCTCCTTTTCATTTCTCTACGGTAATTTTTCTCCTTTTCGTTTCTCCTACGGTAGTTTACTTTGATGCCACTAGACGATAAATGCGAAATGAGGGGAGCGCTTCCAGTCCTTACAAAAGCATGTTTTACGATCAGATAGACCCTCACAAATTGATCCTTTTGATTGGCTTATTGCTAATAAAGGAAAAGGTATTAAATATTTGCAATTAAAAAAAGACAATGGTTCTCCACGATTTTTCCAATGAATGTACCGGTTTTATTTTAACGTAGGACTAAGACTTTCGTATGGAATTAGTTAATGTGTCCACATCGCACAGTCAAATTCTGGGAAACTTCCTTCCAAAATTTTCCAATGCTTAGAGCTGGAAACAATGTATAAGTAGTCGGGAATCGAATGAAGCAATAGAAGAAAATAACCAAGAGAAGCTGAATATGGACGCCCACATAAGCTACTTGATTCTTGCACTAATATCTTTTCTTGGCCTGGCCTCTACTATTGAAAACTCTAGTGTACCCAAAGAGAACCCGGCAAAGGAAATGATTCGAGTTGGGCTACTTCATAGCAGGCACTCAACCGCCGGGAAGGTGGCAGCGAGTTGTATATTGATGGCGCTCTCTGATTTCTATGACGCGCACGATCATTACCGTACCAAATTATGGCTTCAGTTTAGAGATCAAGAGGACGACATCATTGATGCGGCATCCGCAGGTAAATATATGCATTTGTGGGGGTTATATTGGAAATTGCTTTCCTGAATAATATCACTTGTGTGAGACACGTTGTTCTCGTGCTCATAAATTAGATTATTCACAATTTCAAACACTTATCGCCAATGAAAATTGATTATTCAGGACGTCAAATACTAGTCATAAACTTATTTGTTATCTGCGTTCTCATTGGTTCTTTACCCTATTTTTTTCTATGAGGTAAACTACACCAAAGCCCTCATGTTTTCGGCGAAATTGAGGGGACCCATGTGCTTTGGAAAAGTACTACAATAAAAAAACTCTATCCAAATTAGTCTGATCCACCGTATTAATAAATATAAGGAAATTTTCAAATAATGGCCTGAAATGTCCTCATTTTCTCAAATAAGGCCTAAAGTGGACCTTAGTTCAAATAAGAGTTTGAAGTGACCATATAAGTCTCAAAAAAGAGCCTAATCTCACCTGCTAGCCAAGGGCATTTTCGTCCTTTATTTTTTGATTGTTTTTCTTTTTTCCTTTTTTCCTTTCTTTTTTTCTTGTTTTTTGTTTTTTCTTTCCTTTTCGCCGGTGGCCGATCTCAGGCAATAGCCGGCCACCGGCGATACCAGGAAAGGGCTAGGCGAGGCCGCCCTCAAAAGCCACAGGCGAGGGTAGACTTCGTCTAGGTGACCTCGCCGGCCACAGGCAAGGTCGACCCTCGTCAACGACTAGTAAGGGCTTGCATGCCCTCCCCAGGACTCGATTTTGTGTAAAAATCAAGTCTTTCCGCTAACTCCGTCCAATTTGACTGATGAAAAATACTGACTTGGTTTTTTTTAATATTTTATCTATCCCATATGACTTTAAAGTTAACTAAAGCACTAAAACGACGTCGTTTTGAATCGAAACATAATTTTTACGCAAAATCTTAATTAAATTTGGTTAAAAAATCCAAAATATTTTCTATAAAAAAGGCAAACTCAAAAAAGAAAAAAAAGGCTAAAACTTTTAAAAAAAAACCACAAAAAAATACCCCACCGCCGGTGGGGCAGCGGCCATGGCCAGCAGCCCTCATCGACTAGAGGCGAGGGCCAGCGGGCCCTAGCTAGAACTATGCAAGGGCTGGCGACCTCGTTGGCCATGGCCGTCGCTCCATCACCGATAGGGCAATGGCCATAGGCAAGAGGAGCCCCCCCGCTTGTATATTTTTTTAATTCTTATATTTTTCTTAATTTTAAATCTAATTTAATTGAAATTTAGGTTAGACAATATTGTCTTTGAACGAAAATGCCTTTAACCGGCCGGAATATTTAGCTAGTAAGCAAGGTCAAGCCCTTATTTGAAACTAGCATGGCCACTTCAGGCTCTTATTTGAAACTGTTATGGCCACTTCAGGCCCTTAATTGAACAAGGTTTTCTTCAAGCCCTCATTTGAGAAAATGAGAGTACTTCACGCCCTTGTTTAGAATTTTCTCATAAATATATTGTGATAGGGAATTTTGTTATAAAAAATGAGCAATCAAACACAATAATAAGCAAAGCAAGGTAATAAAATGGTGGAATGTACCTTGCGGGAAAGAGCAGCATAGGAATCCATTATAGAATTTTAGCGATGCAATGGAGATTACAGCCACATTCGAATCATTCAAATACTAAGTGTTTCCTAGCCTCCAAATATATCAAATAACTCACACAATGTTTAATTCTCATAATTACTCGCAAAACAATCTCTCAACCTTACAATGAAATTTACAAATATTACCACAAGATTTATTCAGTTCAAACACTCGGGATGTAATTCACCAACACATTGCACAGTCTCTCCTCTCTCTATCTCTCCCCTCTATTGTCTATCTTCCTCTCTTTCTCCCTTCTTCACGTTTTTCCCTCTTCTCTTGCCGTTGATCATGGGGCTACTCTATTGTTGCTGAGATCTGGGTCTCGTTTCAATGCTTGCCCCCATGGAGGAGCCATTGCTTCGATACCTAGATGCCCGCTGGTAATGGAGATCAAAGCCTTTTGGTCTAGAGGAGAAGCTCGACTTGATGCCGATCTCTGCAATGAGGGAGAGAGAGAGAGTGACAGGGAGGGAGTGAGAGAGAGTCCATGCAATCCAACTTTTTTTGGTAAGTCATTTACTTCATTAAATACATCGTGTTTACAGTTTTGGACTTGATGGAGAATGAAGAAGTCCATGCCAATCCTCGGCCCACAATGGTCCTCACAAGCCAAATTTGTAATTGAGTTAGGAGTAAAAGCTCAAGTCCCAATCATATCCTTCTCAGCCACTAGCCCATCCCTTTCTCCCACGCAAAGCCATTATTTCGTTCGGACAGCCTACGACGACAGTTCACAGGTTGGCGCTTTAGCGGCTGTTGTTCAAGCTTATGGTTGGAGGGAAATAGCGCTTGTTTATGAAGACACTGATTATGGTAACGGCTTGGTTCCATACCTTGTCGACGCATTCCAAGAGGTCGATGCTCGGATCACTTACAGAAGCGTTATTCCTCCATCTCCAGAAGATATCGACATCGTAAAAGAGCTCCATAAGTTGTTGATGATACAGACAAGAGTGTTTCTTGTTCATATGACTGCTGTGATGGGGTCTAGGTTCTTTGTTCAAGCGAGTGAGATGGGAATGATGAGCGAGGAGATTGCATGGATTGTCACCGATGGTTTGTCGTCTTTACTAGACCCTGTCAGCTCTAAGGCATTGGACTCGATGCAAGGTGTGCTGGGTGTTAGGCCATTTGTACCACCATCGGAGTCCCGTGGAAATTTCGAAGGGAGATGGAAAAAGCAGTACCCCGAGTTATATTCACACTACGAGATTGCTAACCTCAGTCTCTTTGGCTTATGGGCATATGACACCGTTTCAGCATTGGCGATAGCAGGAGAGATGGCCTGGGATCCTGCAAAGTCTAGATACTTAAAGCCGAATACGAGCAGCAACAATCTCAACTTTTCGTCCGTTGGGATTTCTGAGATGGGCCCGAAATTGCTTGACAAAATTCTAAGCATCAAATTTCAAGGCCTTAGCGGTGAATTTCACTTGCCCAATGGCGAACTTCAGCCCATTGTATTCGAAATTTTTAATGTTGTAGGACAGAAAGAGGAAATCGTTGGATACTGGACTTCGGCACGAGGACTTTCACCCGAATTGAACCAATCAATGAAGGTAGATTATACAGCTTCAGCCAACGATTTGAAGCCCCCTATTTGGCCAGGAGATACACTAAAGCCACCGAAAGGTTGGGTGATGCCGATTTCAGGAAAGAAATTAAAGATTGGGGTTCCAAAGAAAGACGGCTTTAGGGAGTTCTTCAAAATCGAACGGGATCCGCATACGGGTGTACCCAGCTACTCAGGATTCGCCCACGACATATTTCTTGCTGTATTGGATGCATTGCCTTTTGCTATTCCTCACCGGTACGTTCCTTACGTGAACGAGAGCAGGCAAAGTGCAGGAACCTATGATGATATGTTGTACCAAATTAAACTTCAGGTCAGTCAATGCTTTATCTTCGAATTTTACCCTGCTATTCCTTGATAAGTGACTGGGTGAGAAAAAGGAAAACATGATTGTCCTCGTTATTAAGTGCAAAGAAGCAGTTCACACAACGCATTTGCATACTGCCATTGATATACCTTGCTTCTATATATGCACGATTTCTTTTGATAGACGTTGTGTGCCCAAATATCATTAACATGCTTATTCAAATAAAAGTGAATTATCTATGTATATTGAAGTTTAATGAGGACATGATGATGCAGAAATTTGATGCGGTTGTTGGAGACACGACTATCGTTGCGAACCGCTCGTCCTACATCGATTTTACACTTCCCTATTCAGAATCTGGTGTAGCAATGGTAGTTGCCATTAAGGATGATGAGCGGAGGAACATGTGGATCTTCTTAAAACCATTGAGTTGGACTCTGTGGCTAACGACCTGTGTGGCCTTCATTTCAACTGGGTTCTTCGTTTGGCTCCTCGAACATCGTACAAATGAAGAATTTAGGGGTTGTCTTAGTCAACAAATTGGTTTAATAATCTGGTTTTCCTTCTCCACATTGGTGTTTGCTCACAGTAAGTCCTTTCAAAACCATCCGTGCCTTGTTTGTCATTATGATTTTCGTCGTGGTCTTCACCAGGTAAAGGCTTCCATGTTTTACTCTGCTTTTGTTGTTTTAGCTCGGTCTTTTGTTAGCAAGTTTACTACGATCTACATTGATGCAGGAGAGAAGATTGCAAACAACTTGACAAGGCTTTTGCTCATCGTATGGGTATTTCTGGTGCTTATCTTGACTCAGAGCTATACTGCAAATTTAGCTTCATTTTTAACCGTGCAACGTTTCGAGCCGAAGTTTGTGGATGTGCAAGACTTGATAAGGAATCGCCATTTCGTCGGATATCAGGAAGGATCATTTGTGAGGGGATTTCTCCTAAGACAATTCAATTTCGACGAGTCCAGATTAATTCCTTATGATACGCCGGAGGAATACAACGAGGCACTATCGAAGGGAAGCGAAAACGGAGGAGTCGCAGCAATCTTTGATGAATTGCCGTACATAAAGCTCTTCCTTGCTAGATACTGCAACAAGTACAAAATCGTAGGACCAACCTATAAAACCGATGGGTTTGGCTTTGTAAGTCGCTCTCTCGCACACTCGTGCATGCATGCATAAATTCTAGTGAGCTAACCCTTGCATACACGGGTCTAATATATTCATATTAAACTTATCACAAATAAATTGTATTCAATATAAGCTTCTTCTTTTTTCATTTTTTAGCCTATTTATGTCTCATGATGGGTTTCCATAATGGCATGGATAAAATATTGACTTTAATGCTATCTGTCCAAATTAACAGTGGGCTCACGTGTTATACAGATAATCATGAGTGACCGTTTTTTTTTGGGTCGGATCATAAGCGACCTTCACCTTGCTTGACAATGGAGCTATTATTATTCATTTTTAACTTGCCGAAAGTAAAAAGTAGTCATTATAAGGTTTTTTTTTTCTTTTCAAACTTTTCATTATTTATTTTTCGTAACAGATCGTAGGTGCAAGCACCTTTAAAATTTTTGAAGTTTCAGACATTACAGAAATATCGCACATTGATGTGATTTTTCTAATATTATTATAGTGGACTCGTGTGCTATATAGAGGAGTTCAGGAGGTCCATGTACTTGCATTTTGAATGACAACATACGTACGAATGAATTGTATTCAAAATAAGCATTTTTAAATTTTTTGGACTAATTACGTTTCATGATAGATCATAAGAATAGTCGTGCATAAAATATGGATGTTCCAGACATTAAAGGACAAAATTGCTTGTGGTGGTGCGCTCATGAGTTATATAAATGAATACAAGAGATCTAGTAGATCTGCACCTTGTCTGACAATGCACCTATTTTTGTTCATTTTAGTCCTTCTATGGACATATATAAGATATTTGAGGGCAAAACATATCAGAATATATAGTAGGGATCACAAAACCACATTGATACACGTGATGAAAATGAAGGACAAAACGTGTTGAGAGAGTGGAGACCAAAGACACTTGGTGAGCAACGGGCGTACCACGTGACGACGTGGGGGGAGAAGCTGGAGCTAAACCTCTACTTTGCACACACATATGTATATATGAGCATGAAAATGCACATAAGCTCGTTCTTCTGTTATAACATGCGTGCATGCACCTGATTCACGTCTGATGTGCTCGTGCACAGACAAGATCGTGCATGGAAGGTATTATTAGGTAACGCCACGAACTAACATGACTATTCATCAGGCCTTTCCATTGAGGTCCCCTTTGGTCTCCTACATTTCAAGGGCAATCTTGAATGTTACTCAAGATCAAGCGAAAATGGATGTGATCGAACGAAAATACTTCCGCAAGCAAAGCTCGTGCCTAGATCAAGATTCGACGATCTTTTCAGAAAACCTCAGCCTGAGTGTGTACAGCTTCGGAGGACTCTTCATCATGACCGCCGTCATCTCGGTATTGTCGGTGTTGATATATGTGGTTTCGTTCTTCTATTCTCATTGGCCTTCTTCAAGCGCAATTCGTTCCGGTGATCGCTCCCTTTGGTCCAAGTTTTTGGAAACTAAAGACAACTTCGTTCGCGAGCACGGATTATCTGGTTGTCTAGAGAGAAATAAACCTTACATAGTTCCGACCTCTCATTTTCAAAGTGGGGAAGCTTCTCCTAATAATGAGGTTGAACTTATAGCGAGGACACCAGAATGAAGGAGAGAGGCCAGTGCTCATTATAGACGTTTGAATAATGAAGATGGTGTTTTAAGACAGGCTCATCGAGCATAAGACCAATTCAGCGTATCTAGCTATGTATATGCACATATTAGCCTTTTTTCGTTCTGTTGCTTTTGGAGTAAGGGGTTAAGTTTGGGTTGATAAATGTCACTTGTAAAATATTTTGTTTGCTACATATATATTTTCATGGGAAAATGACACAAATGGTCCCTAAACTTTGTTCCATACGCAATGTGATCTTTAAATTTTTAATTTGTTCAATGTGGTTCATGAACTTTAACTCAATGTGCAATGTGATCTTTAAATTTTTAATTTGTTCAATGTGGTTCATGAACTTTAACTCAATGTGCAATGTCGTCCATGAATTTTTAAATTATTCAATGTGATCCCTGAACTTTTAGTAGATATTCAATTTAGTCATTAGATTAAATATTCAATGTTGTTCCTGAACTAAAGTTTATAAATCACATTGAACAAATTACAAGTGCAGGGATCGCATTGCACATTGGGATAAAGTTCAAGGACTACATTTAATAAATTAAAAGTTCAGAAACTACATTGTATATTGGACCAAAGTTCAGGGATCATTTACGTAATTATCCCTATTATGATCAAGTGTTGACACATGAATTTATCTAGAAAACGCAACTTAGGGCCAATTAAGATAAAATGAAGCCTAAGGGAGCTTGGACTGGTCAATGGGCCAACCCACGAGAAGGTTCATAAAGAGCCAAGGTTGGCCCAAGGGCCCATATGGTGCTCGGCCCACCCTCTTCCTCTCTCTCTCTCTCCTCCCACAAACCCTTCAACATTCCTTGTACTCATTTTTGGGAAAGTGGGCGACTGTAACACCCCGGGTCTACATTGTGTAATATTATCCGCTTTGGGCCCACTGACCCTCATAGATTTAAAACGCGTTATACAGATATAAAACCCCCTTATAAGCTAGTCCGGAACTTTCCCATTAGGCGATGTGAGACAAGAGAGGTACCCTACTTCCCTGCTCACATCTAGGGTAGTGGCGCGAACGCACCGACATCCCTCCACCCCACGCTCCGCCTCTTGACTTGGGCCGTCACACTCTCCACCCCTTAAGAACACAGCGCCCTCGTTGTGGGCCCACACGCGGTCACGAGTCGGCTCTGATACCACCTGTAACACCTCGAGTTTACACTATGTAATATTGTCCGCTTTGGACCCATTGACCCTCACGGCTTTAAAATGCGTTATACAAATATAGAACCCCAAGCCTTATAAACTAGTCCGGAACTTCCCCCCTAGACGATGTGGGACAAGAGAGATACCCCACTTCCCTGTGCACGTCCGGGGTAGTGGCGCGGACGCACCGCCATCCCTCCATCCCGCGCTCCGCCGCTTGGCTTGGGCCATCATAGCGACCAAGGTACAATATCATCTTCTCCTCCTTGAACGCGCCAACTCCCTCTCCCTCTCTCTATTTCTCTCCTCTAAAAGTGGTGGTCGTCCAACCACCCCTCATTCACATGTAAACTATTTCTTTTGCAAACTATTTCTTTTGCAACTTGCCTTTTCGTGCCCGCTACATCTTGCACTTAAATATAGACCTATCAAACGGGTGGGTCGGGTCGGTTTTGATCCTACCCAAATTGACATATTTAACCCATTTTGACTAATTTTCACACAATACGAATTTAGTAACCTATACCTGACTCATGCCTGGCCCGATCCATGTTACTAAAACACTTCCATATTTAATCAAATCTAGGAAAATTTATACCAAACTAAGATGAGAACATGGAGCAAGCGAGTGAGACATCGAGTGAAGGCAAGGGAGAGTGAAGAAAGAGTCTTAGAGGTAGGTTGGGTCTAAATAAGTTGTGAACTCATTTAACACCCATATTATTTTAAATTTTACCATTCTAAACTCATTTATAACTTATATGTTGAATATAACTAACCTATTTAACAACACAACACATCAAATATAGGCTAAGAAATAAGTCTATGATCCATTTTGACAAGTTCACTTAAATGTATTGTTCACGGATGTCCTACGGACCCAATGAGAAATGTAGATAGTCCAAAAATTTTGAAAAATCTACATCGAGCACAATCTGGCCGTGATGAGTCTAATATGGCTACGAATAGATCCATTGTAATGCAAGGTGCAAATATTTTGCACTCAAATATTTTGTACATTTCTGCCGTTGAGACATAATATGAAACCTAAGTAGTTTCAATTTTTTTTTAAAGAACCTAAATTTAACAATCTTTATCCATGATGAATCTAATATGGATAAGGATGGATTCATTATAACGCAAAGTGCAGATACAATAGGTCTTTTGAGGTTATCTGTATTGCTCATGACCAAAGATAAATTTAGATAAATCATCATGATGTCATTATAAAACTATATAAGAATGCTTTTATTTTGTGGAAAATAAATTATTTGAAAGATATTTTCTTAAAAGTAATCGTTGCATCGCTTCTAAAAATTAACTAGCGAAATTTTTTTTTTATTCTCTACAAAAATATTTAGACATAAATTATTATCGATAATGAGACATTTTTAATTAACTAATTAAATAAAACGATATAAACGATTATTTTTAAGAAAATATATTTTAAATTATTTATTTTTCGCGAAACAAACGGAGCCTAAACTTATAAACTCTATCATATTGATGTATTTGATCTATTGAGCTCACACGACAAGTACATGGAAGCCGTCGTAAAGCTGTGCTGATATTGTGTCGACCCTCATCTAAGTAAATCATACGAATGTATAGAAAGAAAGAGTGAATCTACTCATTAATCAAACAGTTGACGTGCAGTACGGGACTGGAACTTATTTTTTGGAGTACATTACACGTGTCATGAATTTGGATAGATTGCATTTATAACGTTCACAGTATCTATCTGTTTAGATTAGCTTACAGGTCGGAGGGTGCACAACATAGAATAGATATTTTCGGTTCATCCATGGAGTATATTTGACTAGCTATTTATTTATTCATTGTTTTTTTCTCTTCATCTGAATTTATTGCACCCATGCTTTGTGATCGTTTTAGTATTTTCTAATTAGAGTAAAGTTAATAGTAACTAATATTACTATATGTTAATAAAATGTGGGACAGGAATGGGCTTGTTTGGACGCTGAAGAGGAGGGGAATTAGTAATAGTAAAAATTGCACGTCTGCTGCCATGAGAATGGAGGAATTGTTCTTATTTTTTATGGGCATCTAAAAAATTTATTGAATTGGAGTGAGTAATCGAGAATTTATTGTATATGCTTTATCTTTATAAAAAGGAAAAGTTTTTTTTTTTGATGACCCGGGAACCGCCGTACAGCCGACAGCCGGCGACGTAAACCCGAGGTGACGCTAGCGCAGGACCCACCACCACGGCGCCACACTTAAGAATCCCTAACGACTACGTTGGGATTTGAACTCCCCACCATGGAAAAGTTTATATATAGGAGAAATCAATTCTATATGTAAAACTTAAGTATGTTGTGAGTTGGTATAATCACACGATGCCTTTAACTGG